TGATTGGGAGCTTCAGCTCCCCCACGGTGACCAGTAAACTGTTTCGGCAAGGTTTCCTTTGGTAGCCTTTCTTATTATTTCTTAAAGTAATTTTTTAAGTAAAAAAATTAAAAATTTATTTAAAATCCCCTACTTCGAGGAACCTATCTTCTTGATTCTCCAATCACCAGACTGTGGGAAAGAAAGACGACCCGACCTTCTTTCCTCTGTTCAATACATAATGACTGAGGTCAACTTTGATTCGATCAGTTCATCAATGGTCAACAAGTATAGTATGATAGTTGATGATCTTGCATGTCTTTCATGTGTATCGGTGGGTTTATCCCGTGAATGAACTTGGGTTAAGTACAAAAATTAAAAATTACTTCAAAATTTTAGTACTAAAAAATTGCTTTAAAAAACATAAAAAAGTTGTCCCAAACGAAATCTAAATTTAATTAGCTAAAAAGCCCTTAAAAAAACCCAAGCAAAAGTCTTCAGGCATTTATGCTCCAGATAAGTGCATGATATCTGAGAGGATGGACTAATTTAAGAGGAGCGTTATCAATACATGCCATTTTAAACTTTAAACATGAGAGGATGAAAGACAAATCTTACATGTTAAGACAAAATGCACGAATTAAGGACTTGGCCAAAAAAAAAAAAAAATTTAAGGCACGAAGAAAAAAAATCAACCTTTTATGTTAAGACAAAATGCTGGAAGAAAACTGTCTCAAGTATTTAAATATCAAGTGTGGGATAAATGATCGAGCTGAAGTTAAATTTCTTTCAATTAAAAGTTAAAACAATTTAATAAAATATCTTTTAAAATTTATGGAGATTCACTAAGTATTCACCAAAATTTAAATCATATACAATTCAAATTTACTCAAAAGATTTAAAAACAATAGAACTAAATCCAATGCATATAATCATTATATGTATATTCACATTCAATCTTTTTGGGAAATTTTGTCGCAGAAGCCCATATATAACTATGGAAAAAGAAAATATTACAAGTAATGAAAAATAAAGCAAAACCCACTTAAGCTATGACAAAAAAGCTTAAGGGATGAAAGAACCCAAAAACTAAACCACCCAATGAACAATGAAAAAACAGATCCAAAATTGAGTAGTAAAACAAAAGCAGGACTCAGGCTGCAGCACTAAATTTGGCTGCCAAAATTCATCATGAATGATCATATGGTCCCCTGGTTGCCAAGAAGACCGTCCGAGGGGATTGCTGCAGCAGTCATCATCGTCCAGCCAAAAATCTATCCATCTAAAAATTCTCGAGACAGCACAGCACACGTCCCTGATTGCCTGGAACAAGTCTTTAACTAAGAATCTTCTCTATCAATCATTTAATCTATAGGACTCTTATTTAAACTATTATTTAAATTGAGTCCACCGAGGTAATCATTGAACAATTCATTTACAAAAATTTAAATATGTGTATTGCAATGTACTTGACAAATCATAACCATTAATATAACACCCATCTTAGGAGCAATATCAAAAATATGCACCAATTAGAGTTACAATCATTTCTATTTTCATTTGTGTTGTCAAAGCTTTTTCATTTTATATACACAGGTACATTGCATCTCGAATCAATATCATAATGAGGTGAATGTCTTTCTTTAACATGCACATACATTTTCTTTCATCAAATTCATTTCATTTATCTTCTTATGTTTACATTTAGTCATATGCATAATTTTTAATGAAATATTTTCATGCTAATGACTATTTCAAAGAGAGCAATCATTGCAAATAAAAGAAAGAACTCACTTTTAATTATTCCTTGGTATTATCATTGCAAGTAGGTGCATAAACAATCATATCAATCAGTACTTTAAATTATACTACAATTATGGGATTTTGATCGAGGACAAGAGGTAAACATGAGATCTTAACCGAGTCCATCTTCTTATCCCTTATTTTAGTTTGCCTTTTCCTTAGGATTAGTTAGCTAATCTCTTAGGTTAGAGTGAATCATTTAGTTTTGTCATTCTTCCCAAGATAGATATCCCATTCCTTAAGTTTAGTCAACCCTTTTCTTGGGCGTTTTGGCCTATTTCTTAGGTTAGATTGTCACAACTCAACTCAACAAGATTCATATTGTATTGAGCTGTGATAAGCAAATCCCAAAATCTAATTTTGAAAATATTTCAAAATTCTTCTTTCAATTTAAACTTTAAAATAAACTATATAGCTACTAAAAACATCTAGAATTGATATATCCTTAAAAAATAATCTTGATCGGGCACGAATCTCGAGGCAAAATCAAGTTGGAAACTTCCAAAATTAAAATTTTGACCATTCGTACTCCGATTTCAGAAAACTTGTAGTCAAACTGAACATCTCAGAAATACAAACCCAATGACAACAAATTCAACTCAGTTTGAGCCCAAATGGATTCAAATTAAGGGTCTGAAGCATTGTCGTAGGGTTCAAACCACAATTTGAATTACCAAACAGTTTTTAAACATGACGCGCTTATAGTCAAATCGAGCGACTCGACGAGACGAATCCAACGAGCCCAAGATCACTACATTCTGACATCACTAAGACATTCAAATGTCCATCAAACGGTCCATGATCAAGGGATTCAACATCGGCCGTCCATCCAAGCCACTACCCATATGCCCTTGATCTCCCACCTATTTTGCGGGTCATGCCACTATAAGAATCTATAAATAGACCCCTCCTCCCTCTTAAAAAAGGTGTGTGTGTGTGTGTGTGTGTGTGGGGGGGGGGCGCTCCAAGCAAGAGAGAGATCGGAGATCGCTTTTGCCTCCTCGCTCCTCCTCGACCACTGCCTGAGTTCTACCGGACCACTGCCTAACGTCGTTATTCCACCAGACCACCACTTGAGGTCCTCACCTCCGCCGGACCACCACTTGAGGCTCGGACTTCTGCCGGACCCCCACCTGAGGCCCGGACTTCTACCGGACCACCACCTTAAGCCCGGACATCTAACTTTAATGTAATATTTTTATTCTTCTTCCCAATCATAGCCTAGTTGGCCATAAGTCTTTAATTTAAACCCATCGACAAATTAGTCATCGATCTATATATTACCATTATTATTTATTATCTTACGTTAATTTATATATGGATTTCAGTAGTCAACGAAGAGTTGTCATTTTATGCTCATCGTAATCATTCAATAAGTTTAAGGCTATAATCAGGATCACAACAACAATCTTTTATGTTAAAGGTAGCGGGTAGCCCTTGGCCCACCCTTATATGCATTGTATTATATTTTAAGAGTCAACATGTATTACTTATAGTGATAACAACTGGCATTCCTTGCTTACATATAAATATCATATTTATCTTAAAAAAAAAATCATATTTATCTCATATTAGTCATGCCATTTTCTATGCAATATAATAAATATAATGTATGAAATGCAACAATCTATAAATATATAAAAATCTATGAAATTTGAATATTATATATTTATTTCAGAAAATCATAGCTTTCAATTTGCTCGATAAAATTTAATAATATTACAGTCAAAATGCTCATAAAGATCATATCTATCATATATGAAAACTGACACTATGAAAGCTCGATAAATAATGAGAAATATATTTTTATCAATTTCAACAAGATTAAAACTGTAGAACTAAAAATAATAAAAAATAGGAGTAATAGTTCGCCACTTACCTCAAATAGAATAAAATCCATAACATGAGCTTCAAACAAAAACTTTCAGTTATGTGATCAAATTACCCGATATGCATTAATTTTTAGTTATGTCATCAAATCACCCGCTATTTGCTTGCTCCTTATGGTGCTTTGCTCAAATTGGCCAATTGTGCATCTTTATATTTCAAATGAGTCTATCTCCAAAAGATAGCTATTTACATACTAAAACAAGCTCTACGTTAATGATATGTCACTCTATTAATTTATTTAAAATAGAAAGATTTTATTTGCATCTCTGTCGATACTTCAATAACATTATATCACTATAAAACATATTGAATTTACCTCCTTATTTATGTTGATGACATTCATTATTGAAAAAATATTTAAAATGCCACAAACACTTTGAACTAAAAAATTTGGGAGCAAAATCTTATTTCCTTCATATCATCCCCACTTCAACCCATCTTATTATGAATTAATCAAAATATGCAAAATAAATTGTTCATTAAGTTGGTGCAAGTGGCTGCAAAGCCATCTTTAAAAAGCTACATTTTTCCTGATTCTCATCGTCCAATACCCCTATTTAAAAAGCTACATTTTATTCCAATAAGTCAAGTCCTTGTTTGAGGTCCCAAAACTTGCCAACATATGCACAACTTGCTAAATTTCTCCTATATTCCTTCGTATTCCTCTTTGTATTTACTTTTGTATTGCTCATGTTGTTATATAGTTTGAATCATGTTTGAAAGTTAGAATTAGGACTTGAACTTTTGCTTGACGATTGTAACTGAGCTCATTGGAACATGTATCATGGGACCGTGACATATGAGGAGAAGAGGATTTCATGATAGGAGATTGCTGGAGGCTTGTCGACAGGATCGATGATGTGTGTTGAAAAGAGGACTTCATGATAAGAGTTTGTCGGGGGTTCGTTGGTGGGATCGAAGACATGTAAGGAGAATACGATTTCACTAGAGGTGCTTGGTGGGGCAGCTTCAAAGGGACGAGCTACATGTGAGAAGACAATGATTTTTGTGATGAGAGCAAATTAGGGAAATGCATTGACAAGTTTCGTTGTGTGAGTAGAAGATGATGCTTATTGTTGACGGCATCTTAGATCAGAAAGTTTGAACTAGGTTTCAATCAAGTTCAAATTAAATTAAATCAAATTCGCTTAAGATGGACTTCAATAAATAATTTTGTATATACAAGTGAGGGTGATTTTATCTAAAGTTGGGCTAATTTCTCAAAAACAAAATAAATAACAAAAATATTTCTTAATTAAGCATATTACTAGGCATTTAAAGCTTACTCTATATTTATTAATTTTTTTCTTTTAATTTTAGCACGTGAAGAGGACGGATAATAGTTCGTCAGATGTATGACTGTAAAGTCGGCGGGCGGAGGCGGAGGAAATGAAGTTTTATTTTCTTTCTTTACCTTCGCAGTCCTGCTCCGGAAGGAGGAAGAGCTATCGATTTAGAATTTATTTGAGGTAGACGGTGCTAAGGAGTGCTTTCGTTCTGTCGAATTCGATCGATCCGAGTTTAATGGGTTGTTCTCGGTCGATATTAGGGTTACTGGTGGTTGTTTGGGCGTTGACTAGCGTAGGCAGGAGTTCCGCAAGAAGCGAGGAGGCATACGTTACACTACTATATGGAGACGAGTTCGTTCTCGGTGTTAGGGTGCTTGGGAAGTCGATTCGTGATACCGGATCGTCCAAGGACATGGTGGTTTTGGTGTCGGACGGTGTTTCCGATTATGCGAAGATGCTGCTTCAGGTTTGATTTTGTTTTATCTGCTGATTTTATTTTAGCAGGACCATATGAGATGTAATCAGTAGTTTTAATCGCTATATATTTTATGTATGTTTTTTTTTTTTTTTGTTCTTAGGATGGTTAAAATTAACAGTTCAGATATCAAAATTGGATCCTTAATGTTTTAACTGACAAAATGGGGAATATGGCTAGTCATTCCATATGCGCAGTTGACGGGTTTTATAATGGAGTTCGAGTCCTTATTTTACTCTTCTTTTCTTATTGTTCATGTGTGCAATAAATGAAGTAGCCAAATAGATTTCACCCTTCACAGATAACTGAAAGTAAAAAATGTTGGCATAAAATAAGAATAGCTTGTCCTGGTATTCTTAGTGTCATATGTCTTTCAAAATTAGATATGTTGTCAATTTTGTTGGTCTGTTGTTGTTCATCTTGATAATTAGCTTGAATTAGACTTGTTTTTATAAGCTCATATCGAGCTAAACACTAATAAGACATTGTTCAATCATATTCAGCTTTATAATAGCTTGAATATGTTTATATATATATGTGTGTGTGCGCGCGCGCGCTCGTGCACGCGCGCCTGCATGCATGCATGTGTACTTAGGCGTTTATGTCTATATGTATGCATATGTATGTAGGAATTATGTATATTTATATTCATATATTTGTATATGTATTTTTCTCTACTTACAATGTATACTTGTATATGTTGCAACATGTATATTCTATAATTTATATATGACTTTCAATTTATGTTTATGAATAACTCGTGTTCGGTTTTATAAATTAATGCATCGAATGCAAACAATAAACTTTGGACCGTTAACTTAACAAGCCGAGCTAGCACACATTTGAACTGATGTAGAACTATGAATGTTTTAAATGATTGATATACGAATTTGCATGCTTTCCAGTAAGAGCAATAAGAATTAAAACGTTAGCCGCTTATCGAAAATAGAAAAGAAGAACGGGGTGCCTTAGCTTAGGCCAAGTCACACAATAAAAGTTAGAATCACAAAACAATTATAAAATTAAATAAGCAAATGTAGAGGATTTCCAATAACATACCTAGGTTAACAATGAGATTAGATGCATAGAAGTCCATCACTTATTCCCTTACGTTTATTAAGCTTTGGCGGGGAGCTTTACACGATTCTTTATGCTTGATACACAACCACAATCAAAGAAGAATATGAAGGAAATTGAGGATGGGAAAAGAGTTCACTGTTGTCAAGATTAAACTTGAAATAAAGCTTTAAGAAGGAAATTTTGGAGTCTGGACAACTGCTTGACGAATATCCTGTGTGAAGACAGCACTTAGAAACCTTGTCGCAAGCTTGGACAGCAGTTGGTGGCTGCAGGAGCCTTTGGATAGCACACATCTATGTCTAAAAAATTCTAGACAGCAAACTAACCAGTCCTAGAATGTTGGACAGCAGCCGGGTTGGGTTGGAAATTTCACCCAAAAGGCAAGGGGGCGGCTAGCTTGTTTAGGTTTGGAGGGAGTTTAGGAGAAAATTATTTTCCTTCCATAGATTCCCAAGTAGGAAATAATTAAAGAGAAATAAAAGGGAACGGTGGGAGGGTGGCCGGCCAATTAGAGTTGATTGGGTCCAATGGGACTTAATTTAATTGAGAATAGTAAGAGAGGGAGAGAGGCGGCTAGGAGTTTCCTAAAGTGGGATTTTAATTTGAAAAGGAATTAATGGTATTGGAGAGAGAGAAAGGCGGCAAGAGAGAAAGGGAGGGGCCGACCATTGAGAGGGGAAAATTGTATCTTTGACTGATTGCCAATCAAAGTCAACTTAAATTAGGAAAGGGGTCTTGAATTAATCTTTGAAAGGAATTCAGATTTTATTGTGACTAGATTGAAGGAGACTTTCCAAAAATAAGCTATGGGATTTAGGAAAGAACTGGAAGTTGAAACTTATTTGAATTTGAATTCAAATCCTTCCCAAATTGGTAACATAGCAATTTAGGAAAGTAATAAATCTTGGAGGGGAATTGGGAGGGCCGACAGTTAGGGTGTGGAGTGAGAGGCCGGCGGCTATGGGGGGTGGGGCTTGGGTTGGCCGGCGATGAGAAGTCTTGGAGGAGGCCGGCGGTTTTGGGAGGAATAGCTTGGCCGTACGGTGGAAGGAAAGGGAGGGAGGAGGAGAAAAAAAGGATGGGGAAGAAAATAGCCACGAACCCGGACGTTTCCAAGGTTGGTGAGTGTTATGTTTTCCTCTCCTAGGAATTTTTCTCCAAAGCTCTCAAGCTCTCACAAAGACACAAAGTTGTAGAAATTTTTCATTATAATTCTTCATGACTTCAAAAGAAACAAAAGGGGCTTATAAATAGCCTCATACAGTGAAAGGGAACTAAAAGACAACATTCCCCCTAGGTCTTACATATGACAATAACCTTAAGGGTAAAACGGGAAATGCTATTAAAACAAACACATAATGTAAATAAATAAAACAAATACATATGATGAATCAAAAATAGATCGGCGCGATCGTGGCCGTAGATTGTCGGCCATGTCTCTGATATACTTTCCTTGATTTGATGTCCCCATCATGAACCTTCAAGGTAAAAGCTAAACTTTCGGCTATACTATTGATTTTTGTCAATTAGACTTTGTTGTTTATAAACCATCATGGTAAAAACTCAAGTATCATCTTTGAATTGGGCATTCCCCGTAAGCAACTTGTCACCATCTAACCCAATTGTGGACAGAAGTAGGCAAGGTTTTGCTAGAATGTCAATCATAAAATGTTACTCCACAACTTGATTATGGTATAATTAGCAATACTTGATTATGGTAAAAGAATTTGGCATACAAAACTTGAACCAAAGTATAATTAGTATTCTTTGTACAAAAAGATGTTTTTCCTGACTGATTTAATCAATTTAAAACGACCAATGATAGTTTTGACTTTAACCTATTCTATTTGCGTGAAATAGTTGTATAATTCTGGGTTGATTTTAATATTTAGTGGAACCTTCAACAACAAAATGTGATACCCACTTGTTACGAGTTGTTCTGATAAAGTCGTTTGATATGTTCATAATAAGCAATTTATATCTCATGCTAAAAATTTTCTTTCTTTGAGATGATTTCCTGTACAGTATAAATGCTAGAAAAATGATGAATTTATGTCTAATTTAAATATTAATTATTTATGTCAAATACTTTAGGCTGATGGTTGGAAGGTGGAACTTATTAGCCTGCTTACAAATCCAAACCAAGTTAGGCCTAAAAGGTTCTGGGGAGTTTACACCAAATTGAAAATTTTTAACATGACCATGTATAAGAAAGGTAATTGGTTTTTAACATAATAGGACAAGTTTTTAACAATAACTTGTATTTTTTTTTTTTGCGGGAATTCTAATTTTTTTGAAGTACTGAAGCTGCTATTATTTCTCGCAGTTGTCTATCTTGATGCAGATACAATTGTTGTTAAGAACATAGAGGATCTTTTCCAGTGTAGGAGATTTTGTGCAAACTTAAAGCATTCAGAGAGGTTGAATTCTGGGGTAATGGTTGTAGAGCCATCGGATTCTCTTTTCAAAGATATGATGAGCAAAGTGAATTCTTTGCCTTCTTATACAGGAGGTTTCTTTCTCTCAATTACTTTTATTCTCTCAACTAAAAGACTTATCATGTATTCTTTGTTGTTTTATTATTTTTAATTTGTTTTTTTATTTGATCCTCTCAACTACTTTCGAGAAAAATTTCTAAGAAGCTAATCTTTTGACGATAACATGTTCACCATCATTTATAATCAACTCTGAGAGTCTATAAATTCATGTTTATATATTCTTCTTGTTGATAAGACTAGAGAGAGTTGAAAGGAAAACTTGAATTATGGAGGTCAACTTTAGAGTCTAAAGATTTTTGTTTGAGTAGATATAAAATAAATACATGGAGTGTAATTTTAATAGTAATAGATTTAGTGGGAGATTGTGACTTTTGACGATCAAGTTATTACAAAGTGTACACGATTTATATATTTTGAGTCTATTTTTCAAAGCAATTGTGAAATAGATGTGAATATTATTAGTAGAATTCAAGTTGGATGGTTGAAGTGGAGGAATGCATCAGGCCTGTTGTGTGATAGAAAAATACCCCTCAAGCTTAAGGGAAAATTCTATAAGATGGTGGTGAGACCTGCAATGTTTTATGGTACATAATGTTAGCCATTGAAAGAGAAGCATAAACTGAAGTAAAGTGTGTAGAGATGAGGATGCTCGGGTGGATGAGTCGCTTTACACTTAGAAACAATGCGAAATGACTATATACGTGAAAAGGTTGCAGTAGCTCCATTGGCAGATGAGATTAGATAGTCGTCTTAGATGGTTTGGTCATGTAAAATGACAGTCTTTCGATGACCCGGTTAGGAGAGTCGGTGTGATATGACCTATGTTAAGAAAGTTAGTGGTAGATTTAAAAATAATTGGTTAGAAAGTATTAGAAATGACTTTTTTTATTAAATTTAAATGAGAATTTGACTTTTAATAGAATGTAATGTAGAAAAAAAGATTATGTAGATTACCCAATGTTGTGGGATAAAGGATTGACGTTGTTTTTGTTGTAGTATATTCTTATTAGAAAGTGTCTTAGAAGTCTCAAATTCTGAAATCATGTTAATATTTCAACTCTTTATTTTTGAGTCTCGTTTCTGATTACTTGCCCTGCTTAAGGTTTTTTTGCATCCTGAATATTATTTCATGTTCACGAATTGTGAAGTAAATTGATTTTGTACCTTGGATACTGGGAAACTAAGCTATTAGCTACAGTTATCAGTGTCTCCCAGCCTGCTAATTTCTTTTTTGTTTTATGTATTTTCATCTTTAATTTCTTTTAACTTTTCAATTCCATGCAGGTGATCAGGGTTTTCTTAATTCTTTCTATGGTGAATTTGCTAACGCCCACCTCTTTGAGCCAAATCTACCTGAAGATGTTAGGAAGAGTAGGCCTGTTCCTGAGATGGAGCGATTGTCCACTCTGTATAATGCTGATGTTGGACTTTACATGCTTGCTAATAAGGTAATTGGGGCAATTTTCAAAATGTGATTAAGTTTGGAAACATCTTTCTTGTAGTGCTGTTTTTATGTTATAACAAATACTTGAATTACCATTGCACAAATTATTTTTGTGATGCAATTTATGGAAAGCTCTTTAGATATGTACAATGTTTAAAATTGCGTATTCGGGTATTGAGGCGTTTTTCATTCGTGAGGCGAGGCGTAAGCCTCAAGGCATTTTGAGGCGTAAGCCTGAAAATCAAAAGATTGCGTAAACATAAAATGATAAATTTGTTATATACTAATGAGTGAATAATATAAAACATATAAAATCATAAGATATGAAGTGAAATCAAAATATCTCAATAATAAGACAACATGAAATATAGTTCAACTCAAAATTCTATCTTTCTGAAATCCCAGTATTCTTTTCATTAACATATAATTCCGATTTCCAAAAATAAATAGCAATGACATATCATAAGAACTCATAAGTTATCAGCACTGTCATCACTAAGGGGTTCTTCATTTGAATCATCATTATGGTGAACTGCTCTCTCCCCTTCCTCATCTCCTATAGAGTCCGATGTCGGGCATTTACTTCAAGATTTATGTAAGTTTTAATACATATAGCGTGAGGCGTAAGCCTCATGCCAGTGAGGGGCATGATGCGAAGTGGTCCTTAAGGCGGGCCTCAACCAAGTTGAGGCGCAAGCCTCATAAAAAAAGCTCGAGGCGTAAGCATCGAGGCGTTTTTTACTTGAATTGCGCAAAGGCGGGCCTCAAGGCGAGCCTCATATTGCGCAATTTTAAACCATGGATATGTAATTCTTGTTTGATTTACCTTGAATATCACTCCAATGGCGATTAGTAATTTTGATTCTAAGAATAAAGTTGGACATCCACGCTCTTCCCTCATGGTAAGAGAAAATAGAGTTTAAGTGATGTAGGACTAGGTATGATTTAAATGAATGTGATAAGAATTTGCACGTTTTGAATTAGAGCAATAAGAATTAAAATGTTAGTCACTTAATGATAATAGAAAACAAAAGAGAGGTGGCTCCGCTTAGGCCAAATCACACGCTAATAGTTAAGATCACCAAAACAATTAGAATTTCAACATATACAAATTTAGAGAATTTTCAATAGCATCCCTAGGTTAACAATGAGATTAGATGCATAGAAAATCAAACGCATGTCCTTCGTTTACTAAGCATTGTCAGGTAGCTTTTCACGATTCTTTGTGCTTGATTCACTACCTACAAGAGAAAAAAGATTAGGGAGGAAATTGAAGAGGAAAAGTTCACCCTCGTCGTGGCACGGTGGTGATTTGCCACTGAACGGTAGAAAACTGCTCTTCGATGGCTTCGGACAAGGTGAAGATGATACGCCCCAAGTACTCCTCGGCGGAATTGTCTACTTCTGGATTGACATCGAAGAAGGGCGACTGGAGGATGTCGACGAAGCCTTGTTCGTTGTAGACGAAGCCGGAGTCAAGTTCAGGATCGACTATGCATCAGTTTCGTAGTGTTGTAGAAAATATCCTTTGCTATCCTTAAGGATTCCCTCTGAGAGAAAGAAGTTTCTCTCAAGAATCCAAGTGGAAGAAAGGGTGAGAGGGTGGCTGGCCAAAGGAGGGGGAAAAGTAGGTTCAAATTTTTGGAAGAGGGAGGATGAGGGAATTAAGAAATTATTTCCCTAGTTAATCCTTTAATTTGGAAAGGATTTAATGGTGATTTGGGAAGAGGGAGGGGGCGGGTAAGAGAGAGAGCGAGGGGCTTTGAATTCTTCCCAAAGAGAGAGGCTTGAAGTTTGGAAAGTAATCAAGTGGCAAGGAGGGGACCGACGACATTGGGAGAGGGTTAGGGGAAATAAGCAAGGGTTTTATTACTTTATTAAATGGGATTGTCAAATTAATGAGTAGGATTTAATTCCAATCTAATTCAAATTTAATTTGGATTTGATTTTAGAAATTTTTCTAAAATAGGATTCTATTTTAGGAAACGTTTCAAAATTCAAATTTGATTTGAATAATTGAAATTGAAAACCTTTCCAAAAGAGAAGTTATAGGAAAGGAAATTAATAATGAGGAATTTAAAATTTTGGAGGTAAGGGGGAAGGGAGAGGCCGGCTACTAGGCTAGGGTTTTGATTAGGGTTAGGTGGAGGCGGGGGAATTAGGTGGATCAACCAACCAAGGGGGAACCACCTTGGATGGTCGGCGGCTAGGTGGAGTGGGGAATGGGTCTTGGCCGGCGGCTAGGTGGAGTGGGGGAGGGATCTTGGCCAGCGGTGGGGTTTTTTGGATGGGCCGTGGGGTCAAAAGGAATGGAGGGAGAAAGAGGAGGAAGAAATAAAAGAAACTAGCCACGAATCCGGACTCTTCCAAGATTGGTGGGTGATCCACTTCCCTCTCTAAGGGATTTCTCTCCAAAAACTCTCAAGCTCTCACAAGAACTCAATGTGCAGAAATTTGATTATAATTCATTCATTACCTCCAAAAGAAACATAAGAGGGCTATATATAGCCTCATACAATAAAAGGGAAAATAAAGACGACATAGCCCTTAGGGATACATGACAAATCCCTTAATGGTAAAAAAAGGAAATGCGACTAAAACAAATACATAAAGAAAATAAATAAAACGAATACATATGAAGACTCAAAAATAGATCGGCGCGATCGTAGCCGTAGATCATCGGCCACGTCTCTAATATACTTTCCATGATTTGATGTCCCCATCATTAAGGTACATTGTACATAAATAAAACCTAGGCCTCAACCATATTATGCTAGTCTGTGGATTGAAAGTTTATGTTTTTAAAATAATAAATGATCTAGATAACATAAAATCTATAGAACCATTTCATATCATCAATTAAACTTTATGTTGAAGTTGCTTTTGGAATGTGAAATCATTTTGTGTCTACCTTCACATGCAAGATGATCATCACTATCAATCTAGGAATTGATGTCTAATGTTGAAGAATGAATGGATGAGCACTGTTGTTAAAAACATGCATTGAAGTTCTATTTAAAGGTGAAACACTATGAAACGCAGGATTTTTTATGTTGTAGTACTCTTACGCACTCAGAGAGGGTAGAGTGCATATTGCTCGTTGCTCAAGTGCAAGAGGTACGTAAGCACTTGCAGAGTTCTTCGTGGGTCGTCTTATGGTTGGCAACTCAGAACTTTTGGATTCAGCTCACACGCCTAGTTGAGTGGTCAATTTAATACATAAAATAGAAGAAGGGGGGAACGACAACAAATGGCTTATGGCTAGCAAAGCAAGCAATAACAAAAGACGCTAAAATTTCTTGTCTCATGTCCAATGTCTCCTTCACATGCCAACACCACATCCAACAATTCTCAGCCTTGTCATCTTCATTTCTGATTTCTCATCCACACACGAACATTGCAGCATGGCTCAACCTTCTCATATTTATCTCAGATTTCCCTCGATACGCGAGCAGACACCAAATGCTCCACTGTCTCTAATATTTTCTCCTCACGAACTGATGCCAACAACTGCTCTTCCTCTTTACACATTTCTCAATCTTTTCTTTTATTTGACATTCTTTAACTTTCTTAGATAATAATCATTGTAATTTGTTTATTTTAAATGAGAACTTAGAAAAAAATGTTATCTTGTTAGGCTAAAATACTATATTAGTTTATTCTATCTAGCATTTATATTTATTTATAATTATGAATTTTTGTTATGGGGTTGCCATGCAAGTATGCAACTTATAGTCACATGCATCATTTGCTCTGTAATTCTAGAAAGTCAATAAGAGGTTATTTTGTAATTAAATGTTTAGTTTTTCTCTCTCTATCTCTCTCTCTTAATTTTGTGCATTTTTTGGACCTGATCATGCAGGGGTATAATTTATTTGATTGAAATCCAATCTATTTTATTTTTTTTAGTTTTTTAGTGTTATGTCAAAGAAGATGCTTAAAATAGTAAGACATGCGTTGGTAGATTTTAGACTGGTTCTATGAAGTGGGATTTAATTAAGGGGCGGTTTGTTTGGATTATATAAGGGTGTAAAGTATTCCAAATGCAAGGGTTTTGAAAATTTTAGTGTTTGTTTGGATGAAAAAGGAATGCAATGTATAGTAAATGCAGTGTAAATTATTCTAGTTCATTTTTTAGGTAAACTAAACTATCCTAATTTTGAGCGAGAACGGTTTACACCTCGAGCAAGCTCGCTTAACCATCGTCGACTGTTGCCTGCAGCCACCACCATCTGCCACCTCCACCTCTCTGGCCACCACCACCGCCACCTTTCGCAGCCGCTACTTGCCGTCGTTCACCACTGCCGCCACGTGCCGATTGCCACCATCTTTAAACTTTAAACTACATTCATGTTTCTTCAAACTAAAAAAAAAAAATTATTCACTTGAATTTATTTTACACTCATCCAAACAACTCCAAAGTATTCCTTTAACACTACATTCCTTTTTTAGCCAACCAAATAACCCACTAAATCACTTCCTATTTCAACCTCCCACTAGACGAGATGCCTACACGTGCCTCTTGCTCATCTGGGATTAGGAGAATTACATTAACTTCCAACTCTTCTCCATTGAATGGCCAAGAGATTGAATGTGCCAATAACTTAGAATCATGACCCAATATATTGATTGATCCCGGGTTTGAAATTTAGACCCAATTTCTGAGGTTCCCTGCTTTAATTAATGTATTCAGGGTCTATAATGATTAAGACTAGGGTTTCAATTTACTTATTATCCCTATAACTCTTCTATCATTATTACCCTAATTTTATGGTGAAATTGACCCTTGGACCTCGATTTATAATTGAAGATCCCACCGGATAAGACCAAAATACTTAATTTTTTCCTAAATGGACAAAGGATATCATTGCTTATGATAGCTAAAATAAATATTAAAGATAAGTTTGTAACTGAAATACAATAGTATTGACATTAGAATTCTATGATGCCACATCATTCATATTTGTCCTACATAATCCATCTAGCTTTCCTTGTGTTAAATCAAACATGTTTTACATGTTTATTTTTTCGGGATGCCCTATTCAGCGTTGCTAGGAAAATAATTGGTTTAGCATTGCTAAAAAAAAGCGGGGAACCTGCACCTTAAAATGGTAGGACTCAAATGATGCTTTAAATAATTGTTTTATACTTTTATCGTTGTTAAAAGAAAAAAAGGGGAATCTGCAGTAAATTAAAGTGATATTAATCAACCATTCTACTTCTAGGGGCTGACTACCATCTTAAGCAGGAAGACTTTATTTTCCTTCTCATTTCATTTTAAGAGTTACCATGCATTTCCACGACCTTTTCACCTGAACCTCGAAAAGAATTTTTTCCCCTTAAAAATAATACTATAAAAAAGTGTCGTGGAAACCCACCAGTAATTATTTCTGTGCATGATGCTTGGTCTAGTCTTCATTAGAACTTGAAGGTTTGGCTATTGGGGATGGAAGTAAATCACCCCAACAAAACAAACAAGAAAGTAAAAGCAATGCAGCGGGAAGTAAAGAACACCAGGATTTAACTTGGAAAACTTGAAATCATAAAAAAAATCACAGTCACACCACACCAAAAAATCCAGTATGAAAATGGGGAGAATTAGTACATATCTCCTTCTCTCTTGCTTTCTCCTTGCTTCTCTTCTCTCTTACACCATTCTCACACTCAAAACAAAAGAGAAAGTTAAGACAATAACACCTAGGGATGCCACCCTTAAGAAAAACGAGGAAGAAAAACTATTTAGTCTGCCTCACAATGCTACGGCACCAACTTGGAGCATAGCTATTTGTCGTTTCTCCCAGCAAACTTTGCAACACCGAAGCGCTCGGGGACACATCACCGAAGCGTTGTATGGAAAAAACTGGGTTCAAAGCATTGAAACCCAAGCAGGGGAAGACCCACTAGCGAACACCACAAATTGAACTGAGGTCCGAGGCAACAATACAACATGATTGATCAACACAATCATATTCCACACTGAACTAACATAAGTTGAGTGCTGAAGCACAATTTCATGTTGGCTGGATTCAATCCTAGGATCCTGGTACAACAGTTTCAGTTCTTTACTGTTCATTAGAGCTTGGGTGGTAGAACCTTGGTTTACTAAAGGTTTCTGGTTTTCAACAATATAATGCTGTTTTTGGTTTCACCGCACCCTTTTAGTTGGAATTATATTTAAGTCAGGAATATCGTTATTTTTTTTTTCTTCTTTGCTTATATAAACATGCTATCTTAAACTAATGAGAGATGTGCAATATATGAGTTTAGGGCATGGATGATGAATGTTTTTTAAATTATCGTTGTCTTTTTTTTAACTAGTATCTCTCCGATGTGACGAGGCATTTTTTATGTTGGCCAACTTCAGTGTATACTTCGTAACTTTAAGCAGCCTTTACTAAAATTTATCATAGGTTTAGCAAGTCCATGGAACTAATTTTTTATGTATTATGGTGCATGTGGCTTTTATTCGATTATTCTCATAAACTCTGCATCGTTGCTTAACATGCCTGTTAGCTTTCATGATGGTTGTTTCACTTGACTTTTTGCAATTTTCTTCTTTGGGTTAATAACCTTCATGCATATCCCTTATTTGCCACTTTGAAATTTTTTTTTTTATTTGTGGGTGTGCAGTGGATGGTTGATGAGAGAGAACTTAAAGTTATCCACTATACACTTGGGCCAATTAAACCATGGGACTGGTGGGCAGCATGGCTTGTGAAGCCTGTGGAAGTGTGGCAGGTGCTTTATACATATTATTGCCGATTTATTCTTTAATCTTAATGTGACAATTTATGTTCTTCAATATACTCCTGCCCCCTCTTTTTTTACTAGTTTGAATCTTTCTTTTATGCAAAATTATTCTTATATATGGTGGAATCAAAATAGCTGTGATTGGTCAAAGTGAGATAATTTCCACTATTTTTGATGAATCCACTCTGCAGAATGTTAGGATGCAGCTGAAAGAATCGCTTCCTGGAACTGGAGGTGGAACAAACCCAAGTGAGAGGCTGTTGATCAAGTTTTTGTTCGCATTTCCCATAATAGTTCTCTTGATCTGTTATTATAGATCATGCTCTCAGGTTCACATATTATATGTTTACTTGTTACTCATTTGAAATATGGCAATCTTGGTTCTATCGAAAGCTAGCTATTAGGATTTTTTTTCTTCTGTTCCAGGTGAATGCCGATTTATTGAACATATTTTCTCGGAGTTCTATTTGTGACTATGCTAGACGTTTCTTCAATAAATATAGATCTGGTGGGGGGCTTCCTACTTATTCTGCTGTTGGTGTTACTTCATCATCTATGGGGAATTCTAATCAACAGGTTTGTTTTAATTGTTCTTAGTCAAGACCAGTGTATATGGCTGTTCTTTGTTAACATTACACCATTCATTCAATTTCCAAATTTTAAAGAACATTTACAAAATCTAATGTCTTAGTAGCTTAGTTTTGTTTCTTTGTTATAGAGAATTGTTGTTTTTTATTATTATATGGTTCATAGCGATACTGATTGTATCGTTATGTTTTGTTGTAAATCAAGAAACACATGAAGTTATTGTTTTTGTGCAGAATGTATTAAATTGGTGATCTGTTCCTTGGTGTAGGAATCAGAGAAAATTTCCTCACTTATTTTTATTGGAATTTTCTTTTATATGAATTTGCATGAAAATTTCATGCAAGATGTATTAGTACTGTATTTCCTGGTTTTTATTTTATCATGCATTTTATACATGTGCTCAGTTGTAAGTAGATTTGATACTAATTAAGATTCATCTAATGTTCATTCTCCATGTTGATTTTGAAGAACTGTAAAAATTGCAATATTAAGTATCCAAAAGTAAAGGGTGCCTTTTGGCTTTAAGGATTATTTATTTATTTACTGCTCTGTTATTATCATTAAAGTACTTAGCTTTACAGCATTAAGTTCTACCTGCTACTGTTCTGTAAACTTCTAATGGTTTTCTTGTTCGCTTTTTCTTCAGAGTTGGTGTCCTTTTACCTTTCTAATGATTATGCGATTTCCTTCATATTTGCAGTTTCTAAATGGCGCCAATTCAAAGGTCCCTGCTTATTTGGGCCCAGTATCGATCTTTTTCTGCTTTACAGCTGCCTTATTGTCACTTGCTCTTTCTTTTATTATTATACCTCGGCAAGTGACTCCTTGGACTGGCTTGCTGTTGACGTATGAATGGACATTTGTGACATTTTTCGTAGCGTTTGGGAGTTACCTTCGCCTGGTCTATAACTGGGGAAGGTTGGTAGCTAGTCAGGCGGGAAAGGCATTCAGTCAAATGGATTCTTCTAATTATGATTCCGGCAAAGGTTTGTTTTTTCATATTTTCTGAACTGTAATTTATTTTGACTTTTCTGCAATTTAAAGATGCAAACTTTGCGGTGCAGGCCATCAACGCCCCTCGTCTAACTGGGGTTCAGTTACATGCTTCTATGGCACTGGGATGGCATTTCTAGCAGTTATTGTTCCTTCACTGCCATTCCTATTTGGAATTTCTGCACTTTTTGCTAGGTATAGTTCTCTTGAGAAATTCCTTACAATCTATTTATACATGTCTAACTTTTAATTTATCTGAAAAAATCATAAACCGTTTTGCAAAGAATAGTTTTAAAAAAATTAAATGTGAAAAAGCAAAGGGACTTGATGATATTCTAATAGAAGAGTGGAAATAATTAGGAGATGAAGGAATTTTTTGCTTACTAAATTTTTTAATATTATTTTGAAGACTAAAAGGATGGCAGATAAGTGGATGATTGTGTTGGTTTCTAGTTTTAAGAATAAAGATGATGCATAAGAATGTACAAATTATAAATGATTAAGTTAATGGGTCATACATTAAAATTATGGGAGAAAGTCATTGAGCATAGGTTACGATGTGATACTAATATTTCTTAATATTAGTTTGAATTCACACTGGGTATGTCTATTGTGGAAGCTATACATTTGTTGAGAGGTTTGATGGAGAAGAATAGAGAGAGTATGAGGATCTACATGCTATATTTATTGATTTAGAGAAAGCATATGATAAAGTTCAAAGAGAAATGTTATGGAGAGTTTGAGAAAAGAAATTAATTAATAATGCTTATATTCAAGTCATTAAAGATATGCATACAAGAGCTATTACTTATGTTCAAACACAAGGTGATTCAACCAAATATATTCCTATCTTAGTTGGATTACATCAAGGATAAATATTAAGCCCATATCTTTTTATTCTAGTCATGGATGTTCTTAGTAGACATTTGCAAAAGGATGTACTTTGATGTATGCTTTTAGTTGATTATATTCTTCTTATTGATAAGACTAGAGAGGGAGTTGATGAAAAACTTGAATTCTGGAGGTCAATCTTAAAGTCTAAAGGTTTTGGTTGAGTCGATCTAAAATTGAATACACTGAGTGTAATTTTAGTAATAATAGATATAGTGAGATATTATGATTTTGGGTAATCAATTCATTAAAAAAGAGTACACATTTTAGATATCTTGGCTCTATTGTTTAAAGTGATGGTTAAATAGATGTGATATATTTAGTAGAATTCAAGTTGAATGGTTGAAGTGGAGGAATGCATTGGGCCTGTTGTGTGATGGAAAAATGCCCCCTCAAACTTAAGGTAAAATTTTATAAATGGTGGTGATACTAGCAAGTTTTATGACGCAGAATGTTGTTTATTAAAAGAGAAGCATGAAATTTAAGTTAAATGCTGCAAAGATGAGGATGCTCAGCTGGATGAGTGGCATTACACTTAGAAGTATTGAAGGGGACATCAGTTGGAAAGTCTTCCGTTGACGTGGTCGTAGATCAACGGCCACGATTTATCCGATGTACTTTTGATATTTTTATTGTCTACTTATTGATGTATTTTTTCATTTCAGCATATTTACCTTTTTACCCTTTCTTGAGGGATCGAGTCATGTAGACCCTTGAGGGTATTTGAGTCCTTTTGTTTTAAGTCATTGTAGAGGCTATTTAAAGCCTTCATCTTGTTCTTTTGAGGTCATTGAATGATAATCAAAGAAATTTCCTGCAATTGTGTTCTTGAGGCTTAGGTAAGAGCTTGAGAAAGAATTTGAGAGTTTGGTGGAGCCTAGGAGAGGCCACCCGTCGTACCCAACAGTCACCACCGGTGGCTCTTGGTTCTCCTCCTTTCCTTCTTCCCTTCTACTCCACTTCCACCGCCGGCCATCCCCACCACCAACCTCCACCCCATAACCCCTCCTACCAAAGCTCACCTCAACCTAACCACCAACCCAATCCCTTTTATCCATTAGCTCCTCCACCCGCCCCACCCAAGCCAAGCCCCACCGCCGGCCACCCTTGTTTGTCTCCATGAATGAGGAGTCAATGCCACCTTAATGCTTACCTAAAGAGTTCAAATAATTTGGGAAATTATTTTCATCATTTGAAATTCATATTTTGAATTTCAAATAGTTTCATAAATTAGAAAGCTATTTTAGGAAAGTATTAAATCTCATTCATGATTTAATTCAAATTTAATTTGGGTGGAATTTTTCTTCTCCTAAATTAAAGAGACCAATTAGGAAGGGGATTTAAATTTCTCCACAAAACCCCCTCTCCCCCTCTCTCCATGCTGCCGGCCCCTTACATGGGCTCCACCCCTTTAATGCTACATTAAGGCTCTTAATTGCTTGTGTTTTGAAATCCAAATTCAAAGTGTTTTCCCTCCAATTCTACTCAAAACCTGAAAATAATTTCAGATTTGGAGATAAGAATATTTCCACATTCCCTCAACCTAGTTCTTCCCAAACCCTAATCCTTTATTCCCCTACAAGCCGCCGGCCTCTTTTCCCACCACCAACTCTCTCCTCTTTCCTCTATTAGGCTCTCTCTTTCTCCTGCTTATGATGTATGACTAATCCGGAACTTGATTCCGGTCTTGCGTAATACGACTACATCATTGTGGATCCTCTCAAATCGCAGTTCTTCAGCTAATCTACGCCTTGACGGATTCATAGGAAAATCCGTCGACCACATAAGATTCACTACGCCCGAGGTTATGGAGGAACCACTAGTGAATGTCACATAGCTTATCAAGACGGGTTCTCCTTGAATGTGATCATCTTCCTTGACTCGTGTATTTTCATATTCTATCTGCTTCGTAGAGAGATTGTTCAAAGTAAGAGATTGTGTTCCATTATCGCCATCCATTAGTAAGCGTAGGATTATTGTTTCGTTGCTATTAGATCTCTTTGTTAGATCAATGTTATGTTGAAAGCTATTTTGTATGCATTACTTTGGATATTTCTAAATGTTTTGATTTCGTTTAGTCTCTTGCGTAGTTTAGCCTAAATGGAAGTAACCGCTTTAAACTTTTTGTAAGAATTTAAATGCACCATTGCTTTATTATTTGATTTTAAATTCTACATGTTACTTGTTCACCAACATTAGAGTTATAATTGCGATAATAACAATAATTTTTTGCAAGTGCAAATGACTAAAATGATATGAAGCGAATAATATTATTATTATAATGTTAATACATATTTAATGTTTGCTAATGAATGCACTATAAATATAACTAGTTCTTAGAAGAAGAGATGATGAAAAAACCTTAAAATTTAACACAACATTTTTTTATATGTTGAGAATATTTTTTAAAGAAAATTAACCCAAATGACTTAAAGATTAATCGTAAAGAAATATACACTTTTAGATTTGACTAGATAGATAGTTTTAAATTTTAAATTTCTTTTAAGACGTTTGTCATAAATAAACTCTTTATCAAAATTTTACTTTCTTTATAATGATCTTTTTATGAGTTTGGAGATCAAGAAACCAAGATTCAAAAGTAGAATTAATATCAACCTAATTATTTATTTTAAGATTAATCTCAACAGATAGTGTCTCAGAAATTTTTTTTTTTTTTAGTAGACATAATTTGACCAATTTCACATTCAAAATAGATTTCACTTCTATCAGAAGTTAGGTTAAAATATGATCTCTTACTCCATTCTAATTTTAAACTTCAAATCTTTGTCAAGCATATGCTTCAGTTCATGAAGTATATGAAAATCTATGAGAATGGATGGCATGTCTACAAGATTAATGATTTAGATTTCGTTTGGGACATTTTTTTTTTTTGTTTTCTAAATTTCTAGTTGAAAAATTTTTTGTGCTAAAAAGTTGTTGTAGAAAGTAGTAACAAATATGTTCCAAATGAAGCCTTAGAGCATCTCAAATGGAAAGGCAAGCAAATGTTTGTCGTTCTTCCGTCGCTCCAATTGAGTGGCAATTCTTACGCCATTTCATTGCGGATGAACAGTATGCACTGTTCATTTTCGCCATTTTTTGGTCTCTATCGAACTTGCCGAGGAAACGCGCGAAAGAAGAGAACGACCGTTACGGAGCAAAATGGAGTTCGATTGGAGATGAATAACGACATTTTTTAGTTTCATGACATTTTGGAGTTAAAAATGAGATTTTCGGTTGGAGATGCCCTTAGCAAGTAGAATAAAGATTGATTATACGAAATATAATTTTATTATTGTGATATTAATAATAACTAGCCAATGATAATAAAAGATATAGTGAAACCTAATATGATAGTTTTTAATTTCCTGAATTTCTTATATAGAAAAATGATGATATAGATGATATTACTTGTTTTCCTGAATCTCTACTGTTTTTTTTTTTTTGGTTTTATGATCAACAGATTGGGAGTGATGATTGCTGGAGGTATATTACTGTCAATTTTCATGACCTATGCTTCTGAGCATCTCGCTCTCACTGCTTTTGTTAAAGGGATAGAAGACCGTGATCTCCCAAGAACTAGAACGATATGCTTCTTCTGTTGATCTTCCATGAGTAGATTAATTAAATAATCCCCTTCATACCTGATTGTACACTAATTCTTCATCATAAATTTTGTAATTAGTGAAGAGTTTCTTTCAATTTAGGCCATTTTTTTACCTCCCTCTCCCTTAGATTTCTGTAATTTTTACATTTGTGTGGAAAATATTATTATGTATTGAAAAGTGGTTGGTGAAAATTCGTGCAGTTTCCGTTGTTTTATTCATATAATTTATCAATTACACGATACAAAAATAAGCAAAAATTTAAAGTTTTTTAAAGTTTTGAGGATAAAAATTATAACCTGTAGTGATTGTAACCAAGCGACTTCTGTAGTGATGATACATTTACACTGTAATATGCTGAAATTTGCAATGCAATAATTAAATTTGAAAATTTCAAAATTAAATTTATGATAATTGAAACTCTAATTCCAACACTTAATTCTAAAAATTTTAAGGCACTTTATTAAAATAGTGGTCTATGATTAAGGGTCTTAATATGAAGCATTTAGTTGAGCATTTTAAAGACTTAAGTTAAATCTATCAAGTTATCACTTTATGCAATTATAATTAAATCATGAAGGAGCTTGAACTTGGAGATGAATTTGAAGAGATCTTATAGTTAAAAAAAAAAAATCAAAAAATTCAAGAAGATTTTTTTTTTCCAAACTCGCTCCTTCATGGATCTATAAATATCCTCTCCAAGGGTGGGAGAAAAGGCACGGTTATTTTAAGTCGGTTCGTAAATTGAGAAAAAAAAATAGACTGACAAAAATTTGGAGGCTGTCGACAGCGTCAAAGTAGGTCCTCTTATGTAGGCTATGATTTTCTTTTGTTAAAGGGATAAAGACTGTCCGGTAGGAGTTTGAACAATGTCAATATCCGATAAAGGCCCGATCCGTTAACACAAGCTCCAGTCTTCCGCTATAAAAGGGGCAATGACTATCCTGTAGGAGCCTAAAGACCATTGGTCTCCGGTAAAGGACCGATCCTCTGATGCAATCTCTGATATTCCTCTGTAAAATGGATAAATGTTGTCATGTAGGAGTTTAAACTTTAAAGACCGTCAATCTCCCGTAAATGCTCCGACACATATTTTCGTACTACACAACTTGAACTTGGAGCTAAATTTGGAAAGTGTTTACGTATTTGCAAACTCTATAAATCTGTTTGATAATCGATGTCAACAACTGTTGTTAGCACCAATGCTACCTAATCATCATTGGCATATTGTTGCCGCTATATCATCATTATAAGAGTCTAGCATAGCCGCCATTGCTTGATCGCTATTGCTTGATCATTATATCACATGATTGTCATTTCCAATGGCCGTTGCCCTCCACAACTTCTTTAGCATTTTTACCACAACCTAAGGAGACAAAGATACTATTCTAACCCGTCCCTCTAATCTCATATTCTCTAGTTGCAGTACAAGGCGAAAATACGATTGAATATGCTTCTTAAGAAAACATGCTCAAAATATCTCTCCAACATTAGCTCGCTTGGTTAAGAACAAAACGAAAATGAATTTCTTAGTGAGATGTTCATGAATAATAACTATTTTCTTGATAATCCTACTTACAAATAAAAAAATGCATAATTTTATCCTACTTATCTTTCTAGAATAGCCCTTTTGTATATTTATATATAAAAACATGTTATATTAAATGTACATATTAAAGAAATGCTTTGGTATACTCAAGTATTTATTCCAACTTATTTCCAAAATAAATTGGCCCCAAATTAAGCAATATTTGATTTTAATCGAATTGGGTATATGTTTATGATTGCGCCTTCCAACAATAATGGTATAATTATATTTAACTTATCAAATTATAATAAATACTTATTTATGGCAATATTTAATAATAAACTCGAAATAGAATAAGTCTGATTTACATGATGGATAGAAATCACAAAATAATAATATAATTTAGAGAGATAATTTACTCATCTAATAATTAATTTAATTCCTTAATTGATCATGAGCCCAACATCTAATTTTGACACATTTATTCATTTATTAAGGAAATATTTGATTTGCTAAAAAAATAAATATATAATAAAAGAAATGTAATTAGTTGAAATATTTTAAGTTATTTAAATAAGTATAAAAATAAAATGAATACAAAATATTATTATTATTATTTATTTGACTGGAAGAAAAATTAATAAAATATGAAATAAAATGATGGTGGTGGCAGACGTCCATAGTAACAGATGGTTGTGATGGCGATGGAGAGGTAAGTGGCGATTAACAGCTGTCAGTGGAAACAAAATTTTCTTGTTGTGAAAAAAGAATTAGGTCAAAACTTGATAAGTTTATAATACATCAAAAATGAATTAGGGAATGCAAAAAAATTCATAAAAATTTTAATTTATACCTCATTATTTTATTGAATAAAATATAGAAATTTTATTTTACATTGATTTTTTTTTGAAATAAAAAAGCCCCTTAAGTTATAATAATATTAACATTAAAGAGGAGTTATTTGTAAATATAAGGTTTGAATATTATTAATCATAAAACTATTAAATTATGGGAAAAATTGATTGAATATAAATATTTACAATTAATAGGTGAATATAGCTTCTAAATCGCTTAATATGCGTTTCCAAGGTCCTTTGTATCTGTTTGGACTGTCTTTCTCTTTCCTCCGGTTTCTCAGAGTCGGGTTTCCTTTGTCTCGACGGCCGCGCCGCCCCCCCTTTTCCGGTTAAAAGCTCGGGCTCGTCGGCGAGCAGGCGAGAGTTTCTGGCTGCTGCAAAGCCTATAAATTTCTGGTTAGTAAGTGAACATTCACTGCATTCATCTCCGTTTCTTATGTATAATTTGACGCGCCATTTGGCAAAATTGTTGACTGCCTTGGTTCTCTCGGTCTTTTGTTCAAATTAGGGTAATCTTCCAAGATTTGTGTGTTAGCAGTTTTTCTTTTTGTTTTTCTTTTTCCGTCGAAGGTGTTTTTGTAGAGATTTTTTTTGGCGGCTCACGTGGGATCATCGGCGGAATAGTATTTAGAATATTACTTCGGGTTTTGGGCGCGGATCCGGTGAAAGCATGATTTTTCTTGTTCAGGCAATGTTGGATTTTCATAGCGTGATTTATTTCTTTTTTTACGTAGTATGAGTGTTTTTTGCTAGTGCACGCCTTGCTTTCATTTGGCCAAAATTAGGGTTCTCTTAACTCTTTCAATGAACTCGTATTTTGAAGATTTTTGTCTTTATATATTGTTTCTGAATTCTGAAGTTACATGTGACTTGGGGGGCACTATTTTCTTCATCTGCTAAGCAATTCATAGCATCATTTAGGCCATGCAAAGCACGAATAAGTCAAATCTTCTGTGTTTTGTGCAGCTTCCAGCGAGCCAAGGGAGTGAACCCACCTATTTACCGTATCGTCACTGCTGGCTGATGGCTAGTGGTACTCGTTTAGCACGTCTGAAAATGCTTGAAGATGACGATGTCTCAAAGCATAAAACTAGAAGGCTTGACAAGTTAAATGCATCTCCTATACAGAAGAAGGTGGGAAGCACATTAAAAAAAGTACCTGAAACCCCTCTTAGAAGATCAGTAAGAACAGAACGAGTTGAATCTTCAAGTTCTAGTGCAAATTCCAAAAAGCATGCAAGTCCAATTATTTCTAAGAATAAAAAGATGGATGAAAGTATCGGGCCTTCAAGCACCTCGGATAAAGTCAAGAAGAGTACAAGCCCACAGACTATGAAGAGAAAAGATGTTGGTAGGACTGTCTCTTCAAGTGCTGAAAATTTCGTTGTGAGTGCAAGTCCGCAAAATAAGAAGAGAAAGGTGAATGTAAATAATACTGTGTTAGGAACAAATGATACCAAGGGTCAGGACAGGGATAAGAAGACAATCAGAAAACATTTGCATGTTCAGACCTATAAAAAATTGCTCAAAGGACAGGCAAATAAATGTGGAAGCCGAGGTATCTAACTCTGATGTTTCATATGTTTTTGGTTTGCTCCATGGCTTAAACACTTTATTTTAACAAAAAGACTCCATTTTGTTACCTTACTGTTTTGTCTTCTTGGTTAACTCTTTTCATTGTTTTTGCTGTCTTATGTACGCTTTGCTAACTTGGAAATGTAGGTGTCGGTGATTTGTGCCTTCAAGAAAACAGTCCATTGCGAGCATTTCTTTCTGATCTAGGTTCCAATGTTTCCAAAACACAGGAGGTTGGAGACGGGAAAAGGAATGTACATGGCGAGGGAGACTCAGGTGCAGAAACTGTAGAGCCATTGGAGAGAGAAGACTTGAAGAACACAGAGCTTCTAGATTCCAATTTAGATACTCATCCTCTTTGTGATGAAGCCAATCAAAACAATGAGACGAAGTCCAGCAGGTTTAAATATCAAAAAAGGATTCTCCATGACACTTTAGTGGAATCATCCGTAAAGGAGGTGCCTCATCATGAAAGTTATACGATGAACATAGAATCATCTTCTCCCATTATAGTGGTAAACATGATTTTATAGAACTATTTTTTTTTTCACATATTGAGGTAAATTTGTGGTGCTTTATTGTCTTTGTTTTAAGATTCTGGCCTTTTACTTGATCACCAATTTCCTCTTTGCCAATCTGTTTTTGTTTATCCATCTCTCCTTGCTTATAAGCGTGCTGTAATTTTCTCCCTTTGGAAATTTATATGCTAATTACTTTTTTCCATCCATGTTTATCACCTTCAACTAGGAACCTCGTGTCAGTGATAGTGAAGTCCGATATGACGATTGCACTGGGAATAACAGTAATATTGACTCTAAAGAATGTTCAGCTCATTCTCAAACTGCTGTTGATCTTATTCCCAATATATGTTTGGTTTGCAAACTATCTGGAGAGCTCATGTAAGTTACATTGCTTTTTGTAGTAAATTTTTATTGCTTTGTTCACGTGTACCGACAATGCAAGCAGTGCATGTCATTTTCTGAATTGCAAAAGTCTTTTTATGTATTTCAGTATTTGATATTGATATTTTTGCCTTCTATAGTTTTATGTGAGCGTGTTTCTATGAATATGCCACGCTCAGGAAGCTTTGTAGTCAACTGTTACTATTATGTTTCCATTTTTATGTTGTAATTCATGATGAAGTATTTATCAAAATAATCTTTACGTCTACTAAAATTGATATCAATTATGTTTTTGATTATTGGTTTCTTTATTTATAAATTTATAAAAAGAACTTTACTAAGAAAATCATTAAATTAACATGTTCATGGATTTATTAATGGTATCTTTCTTAAAAAAAAAAAAAAAATTCAGCTATCATATATGAAGGTACATAATTCAGTATCAGTAATCTTTCAAAAATATGGATTACCTTTCTTTAAAAAATTTGTTTGTTCATATGATAAACATTTCTTGTTTAAATATATTTGTGGAAAGAAAACTTTATGGAATCTAAGCAATATAAATTTCAAGTTTTTATCTAAATTTCTCTCTTGAAATTCTATAGTGTATCCATTAGCCAGTGTATAAGAATTTTCCAATTTGTCAATACTAATTCATACATTATATCCTATTGCATTGTTCATAACTCATGCTTTTTTAATTTTTTTAGTTGAAAATTTGGGCAAACCTTTCTCATTAATAAGAAAGGTAGATTACATAGTCAATTGCAAAATAAAATGAAAAAATTGAAAGCAAACAGGAAAATAGATATGATTGGTTAGGCATAAAGAAAAGCTTGAGAGGAATAGATGATATGCGAATCTTCATAATGTGATTGTAGATTGAAATCTGCTCCTTCTCTTATGCATTATTGATCTAGAAGTATGCAATATTGTTATTGTCAACCCAAACGATCTTCTCCTCCAAATATTTGTTAGAAAAAATGTCTAGTTTTCGTTTCATTCCAGATGAAGATGGAAGAAAATAAGATTTTTCCATCTCATTAAAAAAAATCTTGACATAAGCCTGTCTCATCGTAGAGAAAATAGTCCACATTTCAATAGAAATTTATATGCAAAAAATAGCATAGAGCCTTGACAAATTTTAGAGATATCACTACAAACAAAGAAGATATGAAAATCATCTTATAAATTATCTTGGCATATTTCATAAATAGTATTTTGATAATCTCTTTTGAGTATAGAGAGAACTTGCTAGAATTTTTGTCATATGGAAGAACCACGCTAGAATTTTAATTTTAAGTTGAGCAATACAATTCCAAATTGAAAAGCGATTGGCCCCATCGATCAAGAGTAAAAGTAGGCCATAAGGGTTGTCGTGATAATAATCCATATTAAATTGATTAATAAGGGAGAAGAGAAGCTCTTTTCTACCATTAAGGTGAAATGGAATATTTTTCATAAATTATATCTTCCACGACTCGTGAAGTGATAAGGAGTAACCAAATTATGGCAAATTTTGGCAAGGGTGATTGTTGGTCTGAGAAAGAAATAGAGACTTATTAATCCAAGTTTTTCTTTTAAAAAAATAATACTTCTTCCATCATTAACCTTTCCAGAGACATCAAGGAAAAAATGAATGAACAACTTTATAAACCTCTCTAATAAAGGTGGTAGAATGAGAAACGTTGGTAGAATAGAAATCCAAAGGAGGCAAATATTTGAAGTACCTATCTCTAATGATAAAACCAATGGAGTGATTGTTGTTTGGTTGATGAGATTTTGAAATTCGTATGCAAGATGGGCAAGCTCAGTTTATTTAAGTCTTTGATAACAAGTATTACCAAAGCTTTTGGATTAGAAATATTCTTCCATTTGAGAAATATTAAGGCTTCGTCTGGGACAATTTTTGGCCACTCGTTTTTATATTGCTTTCAATAATTTTTGTACTAAAAAGCTGCTTTAAAAAGTAGTAAGTTAACTGCCCCAAACAACGCCTTAAACTACTTTTTACATTGGCTTTGGATAACGTTTCTTCTGTTAGCAGCGATAGTTTTTTATATAAGCTGACGTGGAATTTGAAAAAAAAGAAGATATGTAATAGGGAGGGGTTAATGAATGCACATATAAAACATGAAAGTATACGATGGATTGAGCTGATGCATATAAGTTGAAATTTCCAAAAGTTCTTATGTTAGTTTGATGCTTGATATATTTGATATACTTGTATCATTAACTGTCAACCAATTCTTGGAATTATTTTTTTTCCCTAACCACCTCCTAGTTTTATATCCAAACCAATCTTTTGCATATATCCTAAACATTTATACTACTAATACTTCTAGTTTGTTGCTATTGATGTAATCATGTTCACCATTGACGATGAATATTCATAGTACTATTATTTCTAAGTTATTGTTAGTGATGTAATTGTGTTCACTATTGATGATGAATACCAAATGTAGCTTCTATAAAATGGAAAGACCAACCTACAAGATGATTCTTGGATATTTTTATATGAAAGCCATCAATTATTCCAATATATATTAAGGATCTGTTTGGTAGGAAGTAAAGTGGGCGTAAAGTATTCCAAATGCAGGATTTTTAAAAATATTGGTGTTTGGTTGGTTGAAAAAGGAATGCAAAGTAAAGTAAATTTGTAAATTATTTTAGTTCATTTTTAAGGTAAACTAAATTTGCTCAGTTTTGAGCGAGAATCATTCACACCACAAGCAAACTCACTTGAACGCAGCCTTCGCCTGCTAGCCAGCGCCATCCGTCTCCGACCACCACCTGCCTCGCCGCCACCCTTCCACCGACCACTGCCACCCTGCTATCAATAGTCACCACCCTACCGCTGATTGCTCCACCCTGTTGCTGATCGCCACCACCCCGTCGCTAACCGTTGTTGATTGCCGCCAGCTACCGCAGCCACTCGTCGCTAGTCGTCGTCGTCCACCATCGTTGTTGGTTGTCACCAAACACCACCCACCGTTGGTCACTACAGCCTCTGGCAGCCGCCACCATTGCTGGCAGCGGTCACCTCTAGCCTTTGCCACCCACCGCCGACGGCCGACAAAGACCGTCGCCGCTTGTTGCCCTACCACCACCACTTGTCGCCTGCCACCGCTGGAGCTTTCCACTATCGCCTAAGGCAACTACCCCTGTTGGTCGCTGCCACCAGCCGCCACCATCGTTGGACTTTATAGTATATTCATTTTACTTCAAACAAAACAAAAAAAAAATCATTCACTTGCATTTACCTTACACTCTTCCAAACAACTCCAAAGTCTTTCTTTTACACTACATTCCTTTTATAGTGCATTACTGCAGTACTTTTGCACTGCTTTCTTTTTAAGCCAACCAAATAGCCCCTAAATGTTCCAATTCATTATGTCAAATTTTCCAAGTAGGGTAGGGTTGCGTCTGAAATAAAGTATGAATTTTATTGTCATGGATATTTGATTTGCTTCATGTCTTTCATATTTTATTATTTATTAAGATCATTTAAGATACGCCATTGAGTTAGCAATTTTTTTTTTTGTTTTTTCTTTTGTATCTACAGTTATGAAATTTTTTGGCTATGTAAGATGTTTTATGATCTTATAAAATTCTTATTATCAATGTGAAGGCTTTTTTATTATTATTATGAGGTTTTGTACCTTGATCGAATATGAAATTTAAATATGAAATTTAAAGAAATATTGGAGGTTTTCTTTTCATACAGGTGCAAGGCTTGCTTTTTTAATGAGGTTTTTCCTTTATATTTCTTTTCTTGTTATTTTTCTTTTTTCCTTTATTTTTTTTTAGTTATTGGTTGGATGTGAGATCGTGTTTAGTTAGATTCACCAGATTTGTTTTTTATTGATAGTGCAAAGTTTTAATTGAGTGTGTGTGGCTATGGAGAGCCTTAATTCTTGTTGTTAATTTGTAATAATAAGTATTGAAATTTTTTTTTGAATTGATTTCTTACTTTTAATATCTATCAAAAAGTAATCATTAGTTGTCTTAGATTAGTAAATGGTATTTTGCATGTTTATTACACTATTTTTTTGCATTTAATGTTAGATCTATATTAGACAATCCAAATCTCTCGACATCATATATATATATAACTTATTAAATTTTTTAACAGAAAAGCAATAAATTAGCAATATGTTAGACCGGTCTCTAGTGGACCGGTTCAATTACAATCGATCCCTAGGGGACCGGTTCTTGTATACTCTTGGAAGGGCGGCGGCAAAGAGAGAGGGAGAGGAGTGGGGTTCAACAAAACTTCAAATTTGAACTCTTTGGAGGGAAAGGAGGGGGAGGTAAGGGCTCCTTAGTCATTTGGCTTGATTAATTGATTGTATGCTTTAAGTAGAATGAGATAATTAAGGTTATAGTTATGTTTTGATTATTGAGTTCTCTTGGGTTTTTCTTCTTGGTTTATTGGGCTCTAGATTCATCATCTAGAGATTGGGAGAGATCGATCCTTCTTTTGAATTGAGGATCAATTGTATATTGCTTTGATTTTTCTTTCCGTTTGTTTGATTCTTGCAATAAAACTACTATTTGGTGCGATTTTCCCAAAGATTTTGTGAATTTGATTGCTGATTTTGTCTTTATTGATAGAAATACTTGAGATCTACAGGTATTTTATATCAAATTTGTATCAGAGCAAGTCTTGGGATCATCGAGGGCAAATTTTTTTAAATTTCAGCGGCGAAATTTCATCCGGAGGAAGGAACCCTTGCTGATTTTTGGATCAAAACTAAGAAACTTTTGATGGCGACCAATAAGGTAGATGCATTGGAAGAACATTTTGAAGGAGAGATGAGCTAAATAAAAGCCATGGTGGAGAATCGAATTTCATCCGTGGAGACAAGGTTTCGTCCCTAGACGACAAAGTTTCTGATTTTCATTTAATGGTGAAGAAGTTATTGTAAAATCAAATCCAAATGGCAGCATCGAAGGCGAAGGGACCAATGGGAAGAACTACGAATTCTGATTTT